GCTTCAACTATGTTCTCAATCTATGTCTACAAACGGTCGTGGCTTTTTGTTCATTACCCAGAACACACCAAATGCAGTTTCGTTCATTGACCAGAACTACTTGCATTATTCTCACCGTATATTGATTTCGTCTGTCTAATCCGACCGACCTGCGACTATCCCTCCTCTTCACTGGGAAGCAGGAGCACCCACGGCTGCCACGAATCTTTGGAGCACTGAGTTTCAACGTGGGGCCCAAGCCGGCTAAGTAATTGACCCAGCTGATTGCCTAGATCGATGGCGAAATGTCGTCAAGAGTGCGGATTTGCCAATGGCAAATAAGCGAGTGATCACATCTTAGTCTCGAGCCAATGATTTATGGCTGAAATAGAATCATGATTTTTCCATGGAGGATTCCTTTAAGACTTTATTTGATGGGGGCAGGAACACAGGTGAAAATGGGAAATACTCCCGCACCGCGGAGTTTCTTCCCCGTCCATATGTAATGCTGATAGTTTTAGACACAGGCGTTCACAAAGGGTGAGGGTGGGGTGGGGGTCGTATCAAGACTCCGAAAGGGGGAGAGGTCGTAAAAATCTCCAAAAAGTACCAACCGTAGGGCTGCGTGTATTTTTGGATAGTTGCTCAAAGGGCGGCTGTGGTGGATTGGGGTATTGTGCACTCGCCAGCGAGGCATATACCCTCTCACGTTGGTGCTGAAACGTGTGGGTACACAGCAGTAGTGTAGCTGCGCGCTCCAGTGCCAACGTGGATTACGGTAGCGGTCACTCATCGGACTGTTGAAACCGGCTTGTTTGCCCTTCTGCGCTCTTTCCCAGAGTGTTGCTTATGAACGCTATCAATTCACACATCCAACTTTTGATAAACCGTAGCGTTTCACTATCACGGAGACTTTTCAAACAACAAGTATCCGTTGTTGTACCAAATTCAAGGAGGGTGGTTATTTTGGCTCCTGTCTGCAGGTGATGGTGGTTAAGGGGTAGTCGCATTAGGCTGTTTTCATGGTCGGCGCCGTCCGCACAGTCTGTGCGGACCGCACGGACAGTGCGAAGAGCGTCAACGCGCGCACCGGCGCATGACGCCAAGCGTCCACTTCTGTGCCAGTACGTCATGCGCAGTGCGCGTGTTGACGCTCTTCGCACTGTCCGTGCAGTCCGCACGCACCATGCGGACAGTGCCGCGACCGCGCAGACTATGAAAGCAGCCTTAAATCTCAGTGGGGTGGGAGCCCGTAATGGTGGAACAAGGGTGTGTTGCAGCGAAGAACGCGAAACAGGAGGGGGTCGTCTTTAGCCGACATTTTTTTCCCAAGGAGTCGCGAAATATGCCTTAAGGCCGATTCACGCTGCAAAGCACAATTAACTCTAGGGATGGTGATTGGTACACGAAAGAAGGAAGAACCATGAGAAACGGCCCAGAACCCGAGAAATGGGACCCCTTCCTTCCCCGCTTGATTTGCGCATTGATGCGACTCTTCGCTGTGCCCTCCTCAACATCACGCTCTCTCTGCTATCTAATCAATCCCACGTATAGATCTGCGGCGAGTGATCAGCTGGTCGGTGGGCGGAGATCGCCAGACCCGCCAACTTTGAGGCATAATAGGTCGCCGAGGTCAAATTTTTCGATGCGAATTGCGCATCAGTTCGCACCCTCAGGAGGTCCGTGGGTTACTCAACTAGGTGAATTACTTCTTCCTCGACCTCCATTCTAATCGTAATAACTTCCTTTAATTGTATTATCCTGTTTAGACACGCACCACGCTTACGCAAGAGTCCCCCATCCTACCCACCACCCGCCCTTCCCACTCCACAGCTATTTTGAAGGCGAAATGTTTTGAAATTTGTCGACTCCTCCTCTTTCTCCTCTAGAGGGTCATGGAAAATTTTGAAATCGACATAACGGACAATTGTCTCTCCCTCCAAAGCCGAGGCTTAGGCTTTCACTCAATTTGAACATTTTGTATCGAGTCAGTCTCTCGCTTCAAGTGCACTCGAGCTTTAGGAAGTATAAAAATTGAACGAGGCAAACATCAGTGTTGCGCTTTATTCCAAGTAAATTGGTGCGTTATCATATTGTCAGAGTTTGTCGTTAAAACTGAGCACTTACAGACAAGGCGATTGAATTACATGAAAACCGAATGGAATATCAAATGCAAAAAGGACATTCGTCGACGTCACGGTATTCAAAATATACAACATTGGCAGAAGAACTGGACGAATGCGATTAAACTTGCTCTCCTGCAGCAAGAGTTCTCACTTTTTTGACGTTGAATTGCTCGAAGTTCTCCCATGGCTTCTCCACACAGCGTAACTTCATAAATCTTAAGCAATAAGCATTCAGAGCAATTTAGCTTAATGAGAATAGGCAGCCGCAAATGCAAACTTGAAAATACAAGAACTTACAGCTCGTTTTCCATCATCCTTTAGCTGACAATTCGCTGCTGACAGCTCGGCTGCAGAGGTGTCCTCAAAGGAATAGGTTTGAGGAATATTCACGAGTTCACAATTAAAGCACCAGCCCCACACAATGACAGTAAAAGATGCTCGAGCAATTGCAAGTGTGAATGTTCGCGGCGAGAAGACCGTGTCGCCTAATCGGGCGTGACTGCGCAACGCACGTTGACTCTGCGCAAAGGCGGCAACGGAACTTGTGGTATCCACACTTCGACGCCCCTTATCAGTTCTTATCAGTTGCTACCACCTTCTTCCAATCACCCTCTTGGTCCCTGCCTCACCCCACATAATATTCATGAGTGCGAACATCCTAGGGTCAATGCGAAGGGCGTTGCGAAACTGACGACGTTAGCATTCCGATGCCCCTTTATCAGCCCTTATCATTTGCTATCACTTTCCTTCGCTCTTTGGGTCCCAGTCCTACCCTACACAATATTCATGAGTGCTAGCAATCCACTGCCAACGCGAACGGCGTAAGGAAGTTGGTGACATCGGCATTCTGACGCCCGTTATCAGCTTCTATCAGTACTTATCACTTTCCGCCACCCATAGAAGTGTTGAGCGCTCTGGGGGGACCAAGGGGAACGAAGATATGGATTTTCGGTAAGACAAACAAAAACACACACACAACCGCTTAGTGGATTATATATAGTAGGATTCTCATATGGTACACGGCAGGAGGCCCGTCGCGCTAAAAGAGGCAGAGTCAGCGAACGAGTCGCAGCGCGTGCTGTGCGATGTAGGACGTGCAATGGCACTCTTATTTAACTTGACGAAAAATCACTACAGTACGCGCTGACTCGTCCGCTGACCCTGCTTTTTGCCGCACGATGGGCTTCCTGTCGGGTACTTCATTCTCATCCGGTGCTTGCTTCTTGACGAAACACTCTTCTCTGCCGAAGGCCAAATTCAGATGGTGATAGTGTGGGCGTGCCACGGCGCAAGTACGGCCTTACTAGAAATTGAAAAAGGAAATGCATTAAAAAGTAAATGCATTGAGTGAAAGAGGTGGATCGTTTTGCCCGTGACTCAGACAAATCAACTGTATTCGCGCAACCCTTCTGAGCCACCTCCTGTGAGTGGAGAGTTGACAGGACCAGTGAGATGTTAAAAGGTGTAAAAAGAAAAAGGCGATAATTCACGACTTCGAAGTGTATAAATTGTAAAAAAAAAGCATGATAAGGGATGTATGTGAAGCCGCTGAGGCATTCTCATCGCTGCGAAACGCGCATCGTCCCGCATCTCGGGCACCGCCTGCCTTTCGACGAGGAATATATCTTCTTTATCGAGCTCCGACCTCATCGTGAAATCCTTCTTCATTTCTGCGGCCCTATTATTTAACCGACCATTTGGCATAAATTGTTGAGCTAATTAGTGAGCATTGACAGAAAACAGATAGGGAAAACTTTCTTTTCAGATTTATAAAATCACTTCCACGGCAGGACAGCTCAGTGCAACTAAAGTGGAGGACGTCATACCACTGGATACTCCTACCCACAAAAATGCATGATTACTGGACTATGCTTGAATGTGCCGCGCCGTACGATTGGAGGATGAAAAGTGCAACTTACTTTCAAATTTTTCGTCGTTGAGTAAAGATTTAATCGTTTTTGCAGCGCAGCTGATTTTGTGAAATTACCAACCGGCGTACAAAGAGCCTGAAGAAGGATTTTTTATGTTTTGCTAAAAGTAGAATCTATTGGCGAGAATCGCAATCCATTTTCTTTGTAACTCTGAAAATCCGCGCACCATGACCGCATGCCAGTTCCTCCCTTTCCACTTTTGGAGTCTGACTGTGGTCTTGTTTTTCTGGAGAAGAAGAGCCTGCACTACTACTTCCCACTTGGAAAAGATCCATTTTTCAATTGATGAAGAGAACGAGGCTCGCATCGTGCGACTTCGGAGCCAGGGTAGCCCTCTAGCACGTAGAGTTAATCACCTAGTCGTCCGCAACGACCTCGGGAAACTCCCCTCTCGTATTCCGAGAGAGACCGATCTGCTCACATCCCGTGAGCTCGGCAAAACTCCAGACTGACTGATCATCTCGATCAGAAGACGGATCGACATTAACGAGGGGGTGGCTTGGGTTTACAACCATGTGAGAGGATCTCAAGTACCTTACACTTGGGAATACTAGCCTGCACCCTGCATGCACTTTTTACAGCCTGCACACGGCCCCATCTCAATCCGACAAGTTATCTAATTTTGGATGATTCAGTAAAACTGACTCATGTTATCCATATACTACATGGAGGTCCTCAAAGAATAAGCGTTTCCACTACGCTTTCATAAAAATCCGGCAGATCTTCACGCATGTTGGAATGACCATGCAAATTGCTCATTACATATGAAGGTGACATAAAAACATGTGAGGAAGAACTGGGAAGTATTACCATTTCAAAATGGATACAAAATCTACCATAGAAACAAGATTTCACACAAATGTTACTACTAATAGGTAGCACTTAGATAGCAAATAGGAACTCATGAAGTCATCGGGAAAACTGCTCGTTGAGTCCTCGTCGACACGTTCCACATTATTTCTTCTGAGTCCATCGTAGAATCCATAAGAATCCATTGCTGGATTTGACCGTATTTATAGTCTCGTCAGACTCCACACATCCGCGAAAAATGTGCTCTTTGCCTGAATAGGCATCCTTACATAGGAAATCTCGAAACCCACTGAACTAATTCTCCACAAGTGATAACTTAGGACCGAATTAATCAACTTGAAGCCGTGTGCCAGTTATTACCCAAACTGCAGCATTCAAGTGTGGCTCGCTTCAACTATGTTCTCAATCTATGTCTACAACGGTCGTGGCTTTTGTTCGTTGACCAGAACTACTTGCATTATTCTCACCGTAAATTGATTTCGTCTGTCTAATCCGACCGACCTGCGACTATCCCTCCTCTTCACTGGGAAGCAGGAGCACCCACGGCTGCCACGAATCTTTGGAGCACTTAGTTTCAACGTGGGGCCCAAGCTAAGTAAATACCGCAGCTGATTCCGCCTAGATTCAAATGGCGAAATGTCGTCAGAGAGTGCGGATTTGCCTGGCAAATAAGCGAGTGATCACATCTCACAAGTTAGTCTCGAGCCAATGATTTATGGCTGAAATAGAATCATGATTTTTCCATGGAGGATTCCTTTAGGACTTTATTTGATGGGGCAGGAACACAGGTGAAAATGGGAAATACTCCGCACCGCGCGGAGTTTGCTTCCCCGTCCATATGTAATTCTGATAGTTTCAGACACAGGCGTTCACAAAGGGTGAGGTTGGTGGGGGTCGTATCATGACCCTGAAAGGGGGAGAGGCCGTAAAAATCTCCAAAAGTACCAACCGTAGGGCTGCGTGTATTTTTGGATAGTTGCTCAAAGGCGACTAGTGTGGATTGGGGTACTTGTGCACTTGCCGTACGATGCAGTATACCCTCTCAAGTTGATGGTAGAACATGTGGGTACACATAGTGTAGCTTCGCGCTCCACTGCCAACGTGGACTACAGTAGCGGTCACTCATCGGACCGTTGAACCGGCTGTTTGCCCTTCTGCGCTCGTTCCCAGAGTGTTGCTTATGAACGCTATCAATTCACACATCCAAATTTTGATAAACCGTAGCGTTTTACTATCACGGAGACTTTTCAAACAACAAGCATATCCGTTGTGCCAAGTTCAAGGAGGGTGGTTACTTTTGGCTCCTGTCTGCAGGTGATGGTGGTTAAGGGGTAGTCGCATTAGGCTGTTTCATGGTCGGCGCCGTCCGCACAGTCTGTGCGGACCGCACGGACCATGCGAAGCAGCGTCAGCACGCGCACTGGCGCATGACGCCAAAGCGTCCACTCTGTGGCCAAGTACGTCCATGCGCCAAGTGCGCGTGTTGACGCTCTTCGCACTGTCCGTGCGGTCCGCACGGACCATGCGGACAGCGCCGCGACGGCGCAGACTATGAAAGCAGCCTTAAAATCTTCAGTGGGGTGGGAGCCCTAATGGTGGAACAAGGGTGTGTTGCAGCGAAGAGAGCAAACAGGTGGTGTCGTCTTATGAGTCCGAACATTTTTTCGGCAAAGGATTCGCGAAATATGCCTTAAAGGGACGAATTTACACTGGGAAAGCAATTAACTCAGATGGTGATTGGTACACGAAAGAAGGAAGAACCATGAGAAACGGCCCAGAACCCGAGAAATGGGACCCCTTCCTTCCCCGCTGATTTGCGCATTGATGCGACTCTCATCGCTGTGCCCTCCTCAACATCACGCTCTCTCTGCTATCTAATCAATCCCACGTATAGATCTGCGGCGAGTGATCAGCTGGTCGGTGGGCGGAGATCGCCAGACCCGCCAACTTTGAGGCATAATAGGTCGCCGAGGTCAAATTTTTCGATGCGAATTGCGCATCAGTTCGCACCCTCAGGAGGTCCGTGGGTTACTCAACTAGGTGAATTACTTCTTCCTCGACCTCCATTCTAATCGTAAAATCCTCCTTTAAATTGAATTATTCTGTTTAGAACCATCCCACCCACCACCCCCCCTTCCCACTCCACAGCTATTTTGAAGGGCGAAATGTTTTGAAATTTGTCGACTCCTCCTCTTTCTCCTCTAGAGGGTCATGGAAAATTTTGAAATCGACATAACGGACAATTGTCTCTCCCTCCAAAGCCGAGGCTTAGGCTTTCACTCAATTTGAACATTTTGTATCGAGTCAGTCTTTCGCCTCAAGCGCACTCAAGCCTTTAGCAAGTATAAAAATTGAACGAGCAAACATATCAGTGTTGCGCTTTATTCCAAGTAAATTGGTGCGTTATCATATTGTCAGAGTTGGTCGTTAGAACTGAGCACTTACAGACAAGGCGATTGAATTACCATGAAAACCGAATGGAATATCAAATGCAAAGGACATTCGTCGTACTGTCACGGTATTCAATATACAACATTGGCAGAAGAAACTGGACGAATGCGATTAAACTTGCTCTCCTGCAGCAAGAGTTCTCACTTTTTTGACGTTGAATTGCTCGAAGTTCTCCCATGGCTTCTCCCACAGCGTAACTTCATAAATCTTAAGCACAACAAGCGTTCAGAACAATTTTAACTTGAGTATGAAAATAGGCAGCCGCAAATGCAAACTTGAAGTACAAGAACTTACAGCTCGTTTTCCATCATCCTTTAGCTTGACAATTCGCTGCTGACAGCTCGGCTGCAGAGGTGTCCTCAAAAGGAATAGGTTTGAGGAATATTCACGAGTTCACAACTAAAGCACCAGCCCCACAACATGCACAGGTAA